AAAAAGGAGAAAAGAGTGGGTGTTAAATTAATTAAGATGTAGGTAGTATAGACTTTTTATATAATTAAATATTAGTCGTTGGAAGGGATTATCAAATCTAGGGCGTCCCATCTTATCCTCAACCTCCATTCAATTGATTAGGCAGGTCACTTCTTCCATATATCAAATTAAACGTGCTAAGTTTTCATTGTCAGTCCCCAATTGAAATTGAGTTTTAACTTACTATTGCCAGCTAATTAATGTTATATATATATATATATATATATATTCTTTATTTGGTTTTGTATGTAATTACGTGTATTCTTAGAACATATTTTTTTCTTTTTTGAAAATTTTTATGAAAACAATGAGACATGTATATGTATAAATGCACTTATGCCTATCTGTGTTTTATTAGTTTATAACTATAATTAGAAAAATTATATGTAAAAGCTTTTCTTGACATATTAGATCATGAAAGAAAATAGAAGAATATAATTAGAAATAAAAATAAATTAAAAGAATAATTTCAGATTTAACTACAACACAAATATATTTTAAAAAATAATCTCAAAACTCATGAAAACGGTCATATTTTTTGAAAGATTGCAAAATTTTTTGAAAAAAATTGTCACTCTTTTTCCCCTCTTAATTTTTTTTTTACGAATTTAAAATGTTTTGCGAATCAATGGATTATATTAGCCAATATAACATGTCTAATGCTTTGGCTTTTGATATTAGTATACACATTTTGACTTTGTTGACTATATCTTTTTAGGTTTTTGCAATTTGGCCTATTGATGTAATTACTATTTCATTAAAACATCGGTCTGAGTGCCCTTTCCTAGATTGATTCTAGAGTTTAGAGTTTCATCTATTGAATGTAAGACCCGCTTCTTTATGCTTTTCTCTTGTGGGATCTTGTTCTTTTACAGTGCAACAATGAAAATAATTTTACTTTGTCTTCAAAAAATAAGTTAAATTAATAATTTTTTATTATTTTATTACTTAATATAAAGAAAAAAATCTCTTTTTTATTTTATATATACATGTGAAAATATTTTAATATGTAATGATAGAATGAAGTGAATTTAAGGACGATTCATTTCTTTTTGTTATGATTTTATTTTAATTCATTTTCAAGTGTTTGTTTGTTTTTTGTGATTAATATTCTTATCAAATATTATAATTTTGTATTTAGTTTCTGACATTAAATAAACTTTACATTGTTAGAGAAAAAAAAATTTATATATACACATAAAAGGGTCCTTGATTTTGTGCCACCCACTTGAGGGCCACAACCCATATGCATGATAGGTAATTTCAAGTAACAAAGCAATTTTCATGGACCCCATTCCATGCAACATAATGCAACCAACCAAGCCTTTTCACCTTCATTTCTTTTACAGAATTTTTTTTAAAAAAAAATATAGAAAAATTCCACAAACATACAAACACTCAAATGTTACTTGTCTCTAGTGAAATGGAATAATCATGTCAAAATTATCCATTAATTTATGAACCCCGATACAATCTCGTATAAGTCACTTTTCGTGATTGTAAATCAATGATTAATTGTATTGATTATTGATTATGATCCTATAGGTACATCAATATATATATATATATATATATATATTATCATCGAAACATTCTTTTGCATGTCAAAATGATCATTGAGTCTTTATCAATAAATACCACTCTCAATTAAACATTTGTATTTGTATTAATTGATAATTAAGATCTACAAAAATATCGATTAAATTTTATCGACATAAGGTTAGATATAACATGACTTATCCTACCTCGATGTATCTTTATAAAAATTTTTTCGTATCAACTCTAATTAGCATTTTCTCACATTATCCATCAACTGCTAATCTTTTAAACAGAAAAGAGATATATATATCAATTATTAAATTAAATATTCAATTATGAATAATCAAACTATCATTTTTCAAAATTTATCACGATTTAAAAAATTGATCTTAAAATTTTAAAATTCAATTTCTATTTGAGACCTAAATGTCTTTTGTTTTTGCGAGGTTAGTTCTATGGTTAACGTAAAATGGATGGATGATAAAGACATGACGTGGAAGTAATTGAGCTGATGTGGCATCTAGTTGTCATCAATCTTTTTCTAAGCCAGATTTGAACCTGAAAACATATGTTCTTGCTCTCTTTTATATTCCTTCTTTCCCCTTAAACACACTTAGAATCGATCAGAGGGTCCAAATTTCATCATCAAAGCAAGAACGGGGGAGGGTTGCTCATTGCATGATCCATGTCTGTTACCCCATGAAAGCTTGAACGAAAATTTCGGCCTCATGTTTCATGTGTGGGGACCCTCTCTCAGAGCTGTGGTGGTGAGACCTACTTTTTCACCGACCCAATGCCAAGATAGAGAAGGAATTGAAGGAGCATATTTGCTTAATAAAATATATAATATATATTTATACGGCCTGTTTCTAAGGTTGGGGCCCAAAGACAAGAACCTTACAAGAAGGTGTCGTGGGACCCAGTGGGATCTGACGTGGCACGTGGGAAAAGTGAACCTCACCCGACCGTGAGCATCTGATGAAGACTAATCTCTTCATCCCACACACGGCGGCTTGGCCACCACCACCATCACCACACCCCATGGGAAAGGAAATGGAAAATTAATCAAAAAACTTGCCCTTTTCTCTTTTGGTCAGTCCAAGCATTTCTTAGGAAAATTCTAGTATGATTCTTAGATTAGCTATCGTATTCAATTCGTGAATAAGGGTATATTGGCTCAATCTTATCCACAATAAAGTTTATGATGCTTATATGTGTATATACATAAATGTCTTGCATGATTCGTGTAATATACTTTTATTATTGGTCTTAATCTAAGAATTTTAAAAAATTAAAATGTCGATAGATTCAGACTGCGTTAAGAATCATTCAAAATGATTCGAGAATATGTAATTTTTATCATTAACGTATTTATTCACATGAAAATTGCACTTTGAACATAATAATTAATCAAAGAAATTCAAATATTATGCCAAAATTACTCAATTAAAAAGTTTAAATTGAACAGTTTTTTGTTGTGGTTTCTGCTGTACAGGAAAGATTCAACTCTGGTTGTGGTGGGATGATTCAGTTTATTCCTTGAGCCTTTTCTTCTTGTGATTGGATATTTTATAAGGTTTTCTCTTCTGTTGTGGTATGATCTCATTGCAATTGGACTAGTTTGATTTTGTTATTTTACACAGGACAAACAATGAATGAGGTTTTATATCAATTCTTATACAGTCTTGCACCATTATCGTTCTGCAGGATAATTTTTTGTAAATTTTTCTCTTAATGAAACTATTTCATCTGCTTCTCAAAAAAATTTGTAAGGTGAGGGTCTAATGATGAATGGTACCTGTCTAAAAAACTCACTCTCAAAGAGAGTTCTCATCATGAGAAACAACATCTTACATCTCTCACCTTAGGGTTTTGAAGATTTGATTTGAGCTTGTTATAATTAGGTGATGTGGATTGAGATCCTAGCTAGGCCAGTTTAATTTCTGTCACATTCTTCAAATTTTCAGCACAGCAGGTATCCTGCTAATGTTGATAACGATTAATCATTAAACATATAAGAGCTATGAAACAATTTTTTAAGTATTTATGTCTATGAGATATTTATTTAATGCAATGAACATAAATTACTTATCAATTGATTTTTGTACTCTTGCAAGCTTAAAAGTAATAAGGAAGTCGCATTCACTTTACCTGCCATGAACTAGTTATTTCCTACTTCCCCTTATTTTTTTTTTTCTAAAAAAGGGCAGAACTTAGATTAATTGATTTCTCTATTTCAGTTGGAATTAGCTTCCTTTTGCATTAAAAAAAAAAGGGGTATGAGAAATGGTCTTTTTCCTGATTTTTGTCCTATAAAGATTGACCTTGGTCTACCTTGTGAGTTCTAACTGCACTTTAGAAAAGAAATACTGCTTTTATTCTATTTACTTTCATATTGGATCCCATATGAAAAATGTGAACTTGTTTGATTTTTTTTAAAAAAAGCAAAGATCAATTGATTAATTATCAATAATAATATGAACGTCGATTTGAGTCTTCGGCCATGAATAAATCAGCTGTAGACTTGGTTTGATCTTAATAATAAAGAATTAAACATCCTTTTAATTGAATGGTTCAAATTGCTAGCCAATCTTTTTCTTGGCTCTTTTCCCATCATGCTACTAATTCCTTTTGACTCACATCTAAACATATTTTTGTATTGACTTAAAAGAAAGAAGAAGAAGAAGAAGAAGAAAAAAAATCAAAGTCATGCACAAAACAGGGTAAATGTATAATTAATGGGTGATTAAGAAAAGTGGAAGAATATGTTAAATGTATCACTATAGGGTTTGCTTAATCATACTATACCTAAAATATTCCATTTCTTTTCACACTTGTTTTCTTGTCTCTCAACTGATCTTTTGGGTATTGAGAGAGATCTTTCATGGGTTCTTTGCCAAAATCCCACAGTGCTAATTGGAAAAAATACGACAATTTGTAGCAAAAGGTAATGTAAAACTTTACCTTACAATAATCTACACATATAGACAACAAAAGGAGGGGGAAAACAATAAAGAGAAATCCTTACAAAAGAAAAATCCTCAAGGGGACAAACCCAAGAAACAAAGGTACATTCGATTGTGACACATCCACCCATAAGACTCCCCCACCAAGACCAACTTTTGTTTAAATTTTCTTCCTTAATTCCTTTATTATGATCATAATGAATAATTTATTCATTATAGTTACTACGTTTCACCTAGGGTTTCCTGTCTTTCCCAAAGCATGCATGGCCACTAATATCTTTTTCGGGCACTGTAAAAAACACAAGAACAACATAAAGAAATTGAAGCTTGCTTACTAAGAAAATAAATAAAGAAACAAAGAAAGAATTGTTTGCAACCCTAAAAATTTAATAAAACAAAAAGAGAGAGTGGGGTGTGAGAGAGAGGAGAACAAGGAACAAAATAAATAAACTCACCCCAAGCTTTCCTTTTATCTTTCCATCTCTCTCCCTCTCTCTCACCTTCTCTCTTTCTTTCCTTTCTCTGCAACTCCCTTGTTTTGATGTGATTCTCCACCATATCTCCCCTAAAACCTTATCAGCCTTTACAAAAGATACAAAGCTCAAGCCACCATGGTTTTCTCATCTGTTCCCGTCTATCTAGATCCACACAACTGGCAACAGGTAATGTTTTTTACTAATATTTCCTTTTTCCCCAGATTTTTTCTTTGCTTTTCTTTTCTTTTCTTTCCCTAGCAAGCTTCTTCTCCAAAAAAGCCAATTAAAGATAAATAATATTCCTACCCTTTTCTAATCTTCTCTTGAATATACCATATATTTGATCTTCTTTTATTTTTTTTGTTTCTTTCTGTATGTTTTTAGTTTTATAAGTTTTTTGTTTTACACATTCGATTTTGTTCTGCGCAGCCACCAACTCAGCAACCTGGAGTTACTAGTGATAATCATCATAATCCTCAGCTTCCACCACCGCCACCACCACCTCAAGTTGGTGGTGGTGGAGCAGGAGCTATTAGGCCTGGGTCAATGGCGGAACGAGCCAGGCTAGCCAAGATACCACAGCCTGAAGCAGCTCTCAAGTGCCCTCGATGTGAATCAACGAATACTAAATTTTGTTACTTCAACAATTACAGCCTTACCCAGCCTCGTCACTTTTGCAAAACCTGCAGACGATACTGGACTAGAGGCGGCGCTTTAAGGAACGTGCCGGTTGGCGGTGGTTGTAGAAGAAACAAAAGAAGCAAAGGAAGTAATAGATCAAAGTCTCCCGCAGTATCCGAACGCCAAACCGGGTCAAGCTCATCTTCAAGTACACTTGCTTCAAATAGTTGCACTGATATGTTAGGCCACATGACCCCAGCACCACCCCAATTGCCTCTATTGCCCCCTTTACATCATCTTGGTGACTATAATTCTGGTGATATTGGAATAAATTTTGGGGGAATTCAGGCTCAGGTGGCTGCGGCGACAGGCGGCACCGGTGGTACTAGTGCTAATAACATGGATTTTCATATTGGAACTAGCTCAAGTGGTGGTGGGTCAATGTTAACAAATGGACTAGTAGAACAGTGGAGATCACTGCAACAAGTTCAACAATTTCCATTTTTATCTAGTTTGGAGCCTCCAGCCGGGTTATATCCGTTTGAAAGTGAAGGTATGGAGGCACCAAGTTATGGTGGTCAGCTTCGTTCTAAGCCATTGGAGAGTGCGATTACTCAGTTGGCAGCTGTTAAAATGGAAGACACTCGTCATCAAGGGTTGAATTTATCAAGGAATTTTTTGGGAATTTCAGGAAGTGATCAATACTGGGGTGGTGGTGGTGGCAATGCATGGACTGATCTTTCTGGTTTCACCTCTTCTTCCACCAGCCATCTCTTGTGATTTTCTTTTTGTTTTCTCTCTTTTATATCTTTTCTTCCCCCCAGAACCCAATCCAATCTTCTTTTTCTCTTCTTTTTTTTTTGGGTTGAATTACTCACAGGTTCCATCAAAGAGAAATCAACTCATAGATAAGGATTTTCAATGAACAGCTCTAACTTTTGCCAACAAAAAAAAAAAATCAAGTTCCAACCTGATAATGATGAGAAAGTTGATGACACCACTTGGGAAGGAATGGATCGAATGAATTACTCGTCATGATCACTCCCTTGATCTACTAAAAGAAGACTTTAGAAAAATGGTAGACTTCTACCCTCGAAAAATTATTTGCTGTTGTTCATTTTTTTGTTGTTGTTGTGTTCTTCTATTGTAATTCTCTAAGAACAAATTAAGTAGGTCTTTGTAATCCATGGAGAGAGTTTCGGTATCTGACATGAAAGAGATAGATTATTGTTATAGTTGATGATGATCAAATGCTTTGTACTAAGTGATTTCCCTTGATATTATGTGAAAATGTATCCATTATTTTTTGGTTTTCTTCATTCATTTTGCTCTCAATCTGCCACCTTTTATTGTCTCCTTTGTGAAGTTTAAGGACTATCTCTTTTGCTAAATTGCATACATTAATCAATAATTATTGATTTATGATCAGTGTTATCTTCAGCAGCAAGATGATTAGTCCTCAATAGAGGTAATATAAGTACGTGAAGCATAGCTTATAACCATGGCCTGAATCCATTTCATAAAGATGATCAGTACTGTTATCCATTACTCTTTTATCTTTTCTGGGGGTTTCTTCTTTACTTGTTTGCTTACATATTATGGTGATAACCCTAGGAAGCACGTATCATGAAATAATTAGTTTCCCATGGCACACAACTTTGCCATTTTTAGGCCAAAAAACAGTGAGCAAAATTCAGCCTTTTTTATTTTTCTGGTGGAGAGTACTCTGAAAGTGGAACAGTCCTTTCTGGTATGACTCCATGCTTTGTACTCAACAAACACCAAGGCTTGAAACCAAGTCATTTCAACATTACTGCTAGGGGGATCACTGAGCATCTCAGTTCCCCTTTAATCATCTTTCTTAGCAAATTCCAAATTCCCAGATGTCTCTTGGTCTCAGATTTTTAAGGAATTTTAACCTGAGGTTAGTTATTTTTCACCCTCCCAAGAAAAGAAAAACAATTTGATATTTGAATGCATATAAGTCTGTGCCCATGCCATGTTGCCAACGGTTGTAAAAGAAAAAATTTTTCACCCCAAGAAAAGAGAAAGGTAGAAAGAGGATTTGATAATGATTTTGTAATTATAATAACCAAAAAAATAGAAAAAAAAAATAAACTAAACCTAAGAGAAGTACTTATTTGTTGCTTTGTGGACTAAAAAATGATTATGTAATTATATGAAATTTGACCAAACAAAAGAAAGAAGGTACTGATTTTGTTGTTGTGGTTGTTGCTGTTGTTTGTACAGCAATACGAACTGAGAGTTAGACAAAGAGAAAAGAAAAAACGCCAAAATCCCACTCAAAACCATGCAAAGAGATATTCTCCAATTTTCTTAGCAAATTCCTAAAGTAAAGCCAAAACCTACCACACAGAGAGAGTCAAAAGTATGAAAACGAAGGGAAAAAACAAACTAAATCCTCACCATCAGAAGACTTTTTTCCCCCCCACGCTTTTAAGCTTTTGTTTTTGGTATTTTTTGGGCACATTTTTGTTAGTATTTTGATGATAAAAATGATGTCATTGTTCATATATTTAAATACCCTTTTCCCTTTGGGGTGTTTCTAGTTCTATGAGAGAATGGAATCTGAGTTTTGGATCTGCTTTTGCAATAACCAAGGCTGGTTACTAACATGGAATAAAGTCATCTATCAATAAAGCAAATCTCTCTCTCTCTCTCTCTCTGTTCGAGAGCAATAGTTTTTTTCTTTGTTGTTGCCTGGTCGGCTGATGGGATGGTAACTACTGAGATAGGGATCCAAAATTGTCTATCGAAATTGCCAATTGGGTTTCTAAAGGAGAAGAGAAATGGAAGAAGAAGGAGCTCGGAATTCCAAGCAAAGGGTACTTAGTTTTGCTTGGAAAATTATTGTATTGGATGCCCACAATGGAAAATGTTTACAGGCGTGAGATGTTCTCTCTGTTTCCATGGCAGCTTTCTCTTTTTGAAACGTCCTCGTTATATTTCTTTCTCTTTCTTTTTCTTTCTTTCTCTGAGATTCCAATCTATGCCTTCTCCTTCGTGTCTCCAGTCCCTCACGTTCTTCCACATGTGCTCAATCATAGACTTGTTAGATTCTTGTCATCACTTCTAGAAAAAACTTCCTTCCATGATCGTTTCTCTTTCTTTTCTAATAATTTCTTTCGTACAAAAATCTTTTATATATATATATATATATATATATATATATATACATATATTAATGAACTTTGCCTTTTCACATCAAGAGACGAGTACAAAGAGAGTTTGACCTCAACTTTACTGTCAATATTTGCTTGAATTTGGAGGGACTGAGAAAGGAGACAAATAATCTAATATATTCCCATAGCTTTGGTTAAAAATAGGAGTAAATATAATAAAAATATTAGCAGGGAATTCAAATCAAACAGGTGGGCAATGAGATAACAAGAAAAAGGGGAAAAGTTGGCAATAATTAATGCAGTCCAAAGAGTACATCAGTATCTTACAAATTCAAACTAGCTGAACTAGGCTCTCCCCACCTCATGGGGTTGAATTCTCCATACTCCATTGTTATAACCTGGAAATATTAAAAAGTTAAAAAGATTCGAAACTAATTTCTCTTATTAATTTTGTCATGTCTAAATTATTGAAAACTGGTAAATATTCATGAACTTATTACTGTCAATCTGTCCGACTGTCGAGCAAAGTGACATTACCCCGTACAATATATAATATGAAAGAATATCTCAGTGCATGCAAATTAATGAGTTAATATTTAAAGTTGCAATGGGGATGGTAACGTTGCATCATGCACTTCAACTTCATTCGATCCCACCTTGGACATGCAATCAATCATATATTATTGGAAGCTTGCGCAATCAAGCACTAACTCTTGTTGCAGCCATGGATTTGGTTTCATTCTTTATTATTATAGAAAGTCTGGAGGATAATTACAAAGAATGGTCATAAAAGTGAGATCCTATTGAGTTAGATTGTCAAGTTTTTGACTAAAATAGTTAACCTAATAGGCTCCCCCCTACTCACTTCATCAATGGTATATATTGATTGAACCAAAAAGAGGATGATTTTGGATGGTTCTTCCAGGGAAAAAAAACCATCTATATTTGACTGGGAAAGGAACATATGTGTTAAGCTTAAGCTCATATTCAAAAGTGGAAATCGATTTGATGAAGCATTATAATGTGCCTTTTACATTAATTTTTTATTTTTATTTTTTTGTTTATGTTGATGATGTGATGGAGCTTCAATTATAAGCTTATTATAGAGGAAAAAATAAATAAAAATATATTCAGCTTATTGGAATGTGATGTCATTCATAAAGGTTATTAGAAAGGCTTCTTGGCTTTCTATCTATTGGAGTTGGAATATCTGGGACATCACTTAAATTATATATACATATATAATTTAATTTTAGAAATTTTAATTTGAATTAATATTTTGCTTACAATGTATTAAAAAAGCATTAAAATTAAATATCAAAGCTTTTCGTTTCTTCCCTTTCTTGTTAAAAGAAAAACAATTAATCCCTTTGTCTACTCCCAAAATTGAATTCTTTTTGGACTATCTTGTTAGTATGTGACTTAGCAACAACAGCAAACCCTTTTTGAGAAACCAATTTTAAAAAGGAGCTTAGCAATGGAAAAAGGGAGGTGGGCAATTTTCTAACTTATAGCTAGCTTTTGCTTTTTGGAATGAAATTGATTTTGTCCTTATTATATAAGCACTAGCTAGCCATTACCCCCTTATTATGACCTAGGGTTTGGGCTTAAAGCTTCTAAAGAAACACCAACGACAGATAACTTCCAAAAAGATTCTTCATCCTTAAGTAAATTTTCTTGCCTTTACCAAAAGCTCTCCTCTCAATATAAATTCTCAGTATACAGCATTGATGCTATGCTACTAAGCAAAACACATCAAAATTATTAGAATATGTATTATCCTAGGCTATTAGCCGATAATCTTTGACTGAAAGATTTGGGCCAATAGACAGCTAAATTTGTGGCTCTCTTGCTCTCTCAAAGTGGAGTTAAAGGCAAATGGATCATGAGAAAAAATTTTTGGTCCCCAAAAGTACAAGAAGCTTTAAAAAACAAATTTGGGAATGTGTAGAGATATAAGAGGGCCATGCAGAGCCCTCCCCTCTTCGAAATATTTAATCTATAAAAAAAAAACCCAAATTTAAAATTTGTGATGATATATAACATCATGGTCCTACTTAATCATTTGCTTTTTCAAAAATTGAGTCATGTCTTCACTTTAGTCTTAAAAGTTGATTAGATCAGCCTTTAAATTTTGTGCAAGGGATTTGAAACATAATTATTTTGTCCTAGTAAATCTACACCAAGAGATTGATTAATTTTGATTAATAATTTTTGAGTTAATATATATATATATATATATTTTATATCTAAGATCAAAAAGTTTTGTTCACTACTTTCTTTTACTTTGCGGTTAAGAGTTTGGGACACATTTAACAATGGTGGATCGTACAAAATTGGCTCCTAAAATATTTGCTTATTCTAGCAATGAGGTCATGGAAATGAACAAAATCTTTTACTTTCTTTTCTTTTCTTTTCTTTCCCCCTTTCCCCTCTCAATTCTTAGTTCAATAGTAGACTCAATCGCTCTTCAAATATTCAACTTAATCGTAAATCATAAGAATTTATTTTTTTAAATTGTTTTTAATGAATATAAATTTTAATTATTTAATTATTTAAAAAATTAAAACTTAATTTTTTAATTATAAAATATATATAATTTTTATTGAATCAAATATTCAATGATCAAGTGCTTAATGGTTCCATTTTGTTCCCTGTATATTGCCAACAAGTAAACTCAAAGGCAAAGCCCATAAAATATAATAAAAAATTGAGAGAGCGTATTGTGTTTCCCACCTAGAATTTTTGGGTCAACGAAACCGGGCAGGGTGTGAGCCCATATCATACAAAAGTACATCTGCTATATGAAGTGCTCATTAGGCTAATTGACCCAGTTGGAAAATTAAGCTATATAAGGGCTATTGCTAGTTTACTATACTAGCACGACTAGCAATAGGTCTAGATTAAGTGGAATATTATAAGGTTAGTAGTCAGATTTCAGACCCTAGAAACCTTAGCCGGCCATATATGGCAGCTTCTTAGTTCTTTCCAACATAACAGAAATTTGTGCAATTTTTTATTTTCTGATAAAAAAATGCTTTATGTTACTAGTAAATTGTTCAAACTAAAATTTTAAAGAAATCCCAAATATTATTTTTGTGTATTTGTAGTTATATTTTGTTAATTATAATTATAATTAATACATTATCTCCTCTTGAATTAGTTAAAATAGTGTATTAAATGTAAATTTTTAAAAAAATATTTTAACTAATCTTAAATAATACCTATAGCACCCATTAACAGAATTTATATATTTTTCATGAGAAATGATTAAAAGATAATTATATAAAATTATGAATCTTTATATTTTAAATTTTATATATAATAATAAAAAATTAAAAATTAATAGATGACGAAACTATTTTAGATCCGCCCCTATCGAAGAGTGCTCCGCCTTTCTACAAAAGGCTAAACAATCCTTATCATCATCATTCCTTCGTCTTTACATTCTCAATAACTAAAGCAGAGGACAAAATTAAATACTTTTCAATTTGTTTCTAGGCTTTATTTTTGTCTACATATAGTCCAATGTATAAAACAAGGGAATGCCAATCCCTCAAATGGATAACCTCAATCATGCTCATTAGCACATTGAATTGGAGACGAAAACTCTCTAAGCCCCTGATATATGGCTACTCTAGCAAATTGAGAGAGCAAATTGCAACAGTAAGGGCAATTGTAACATCAACGAAGTTAAAAGATGGCACCTCCACCTCCTTCAACAGCTCCCCGAGTAATTGCTCTGGTTTTGAAGGTCTTCATGTTTGCTCTTCTCTTAGCATCGCTCGTCGTACTCGTCACCGACACCGCAACCGTACCATTAGACATAATCTTTGAGTTAAAAGTTCGTTTCGATGACGTCTATACTTACCGGTGAGTCCTGGTTACATCCATTGTTAAACATGAAGAAGCTAATCAAAGTTACCCATGGCTTTCTTCAAGCAACTCTATGAGTGGTTCATGTTGTTCGTTATTGATCTCATCTCTTTCTTCTATTTTTTTACTTTTTGTATAATTTAAGAAAAAAATTAGCCGGATTGTCGAGCGTAGGAAGAGACTATGTATTTAGATTCGTAAAATCAAAATACTCAAAATAAATTCACGTAAACGCTTTAAAGAAATACTCCTACAGTTTAAAATTTGAAATTATAATTTAAAAATCTTGAATTTAAATAATCGTACCCCTGAAAAATTAGTTTCAAAATTTCTGAAATTTGTTAATCAGTTCCCTATCTATTCCATTGCAGATACGTGCTTGCTTCAATCATCATTGGACTCGTATACTCACTCTTGCAAACCGCTTTCTCTCTGTACCATCTTGCCACTGGAAATCGATTGATAAGTGGGGATGGCGGCTTTGTTTTCGATTTCTATGGTGACAAGGTACAGTCCAGACTCTCAGACTAGGATTCAAACACATTGCTTTCCGTCTCTTTCCAATTGTCATGGCGATTAACTTTTTGTTAGTCTTAATCATCCCATAATATCATACAGCTAGCTGCCTTAATATTCTACATTCAGGTTAGATGGAGACAGGGCCGGCTAAGTCCCAGCCACATCTTGTCCTCTTTTCTATTTTCTTATATTAATTAATTAAAGGTCTGTGTAAAACATTGACTACAAAGGTATCAGGATTCAGGATTCTTTTTCCATACCATTGAAGTAATACATGAATTACAAATGTTGGGCAGGTTATATCTTATGTGATGGCCACCGGTTGTGCTGCTGGATTTGGTGCAACCACAGATCTAAAGGCATTGGCTGATGCAAGGAAGCTTGATTTCGAAGACTATTTTGATAAAGCATACGCTTCTGCTAGCCTGCTCCTCCTGGCATTTCTCTGTGCTGCCGTTTTATCTGTTTTCTCATCGTATGCTCTCCCGAAAATGGTTAATGAAAGCGGATGATGATAGTTTTGTTTCATATTACATCTTTGGTAGAGCTGCAAACGAGTCAAAAAATAAAAAGAAAAAGAAAAATCTTTATATTTTAATTGAATTAAATGCCTACACCCTCTGCCTTAAGTCACAGAACTTGGAACATGTACCAACATTTATAGTTTAATCTCGAGAGGCATTTAAATAGAAACAACTCAAACTGAACAGAAAACAAAGACATCGGGTATCAATGACCAAATCTAGAAGCAACCAAGCTTTGAGGAAAAAAAAAATTGATCAATGAAGACGATGAGGGCGAGTGACATTGTTCCACAAAGGAAGGAGTCCATTCCTCTGAGCTCGGGGATTGGCATTTTTCAGCATCTGGTCTTTCCAGCAACCAGCATGATAACTGTAGTGCTCATTGGCAGAGAAATAGGACCAACCAGAATTGGTGTTTGGGCACATTGGGTATAAACATCTAGGCTGATACTCATTTTTAAGTGTCATGTTCATCCCATTACTGGCAGCTATGGTCCTTGGGAGCCTTGCACAAGATAGGTGTAAATTCCTATTGCAGTGATTGCAGCGGTAGTAATTTGGCCCGTATACAATCTTCCGGCAGGCATTGCATGTAGGCTTTTGTGAAGGCACTGACCTGGAAAAGATGAAGTTACAGTTGATTAAAAATGGGTGCAAGGTGATCGGAGTGAAAATGCCGCAGCATTCTTCATGGAGATTGAAACAGCAGCCCCGGTGGGGACATGAAAACCGGGGTCCCAACCCTGAAGCTCCGCATCCATTGCATATGTAAAAGAAATCAGACTGGACCAAATGAAGATCATGCTGCTGGTGACTAGAATGATTTATTGCTTTAATTCTGATCATGTCGCTTGAAGGATTTAAACTAAGAGCTCCTGCAAAACAATCAGGCCTCTTCGGCAGGCACATGGTCATGTTAGTTTTTGGTACTAAACTTGATTAATTCAATCAAACTTGTTAGGATAAACTCCAGTTATATTTCTCTTGCAGTTTCAATTTTTCACACATTGCAAAGAAAGAAACTGGGAGGAAAGCAAGACACAAGCAAAAGCAGAGAGAACAAAAGCTTGAACCAGGCTGCAGAATAAGGCCATCAACCACTGGAAGATCACCACATAGAAAAATTTTTTCCAGCTACTAAAACCAGAGAACCAATATATATAGACGAAGAGAACCGTTTGCAGACAATATACATGGAAGTAAGGTGAACCAATTAACATCTCAAATTAAAAGCTGATCACAAACAATCAAACTCAAGAACCAAAAGGCAATCCTCTTCAAGAACCAAGGCATTGAAAACCCATGGCGTTCCATAAATGGAGCAATGGTGATGATGAAGGAGTGTAATCGAAGCATAATTCTAGCAAGTTGTACATATTCAGCATGGTAAAAACAAAAGCAAATCAAACAGTGAGTACAAACCTATTATGAGCAGATCAGAAACCAGGGAAGCAGATCTTGGAATTTCTCAGTTCTGATACAGCTAGCTTGGGATCAGGGCAGGTGCAGATTTAGAGAGTTCAAACATAATTCTAACCAAACCAACTATAAAATAGTAGTAAATGAAAAACCTCTTCGTCTTTATTAAATTACTTTTGTAGTTAATTGCCCCACCAAGGTTTGATAGCATGCTAACATTGACTGAAATGTCTTCCATCTGAATGATTTCATTTTGTTACTATTAATTAAGGAATAAAAAATGACTGGGGTTTCTCTTTCCCTTCTTCGTCTTTGTCTTTTCATGGAGAATTCGATCCATCCATCTTTCCTCGCCACCTCATGTCCAATTTCATGGCAGGTTCCTACGATAGCATCATGTTAATCCAAGTCTGCTTAGATTGACCACATTGGTCTTTTCTTCTGCCTGTTTTTGTGAAACTTATCGATGGAAAATTGACTTGATATTTCACTTCAATGTTTTCCCATTATCATGATCTAGACATGATAGCAATGTTTACTGACCACCATTACAGTAGGATATATAAATATAAACAAATAATATATTTTTTTTTGAAAAGTAAAGCTGGAAGGAAAGCAAGAGAGAAGCAAAAGCAGAGTAAACCAGATGGAAGAAAAGCTTGAACCAGACTGCATAATATGGCCAACAACCACTCGAACACTACATAATAAAAAGATTCCAGCAGCCAGAACCACCGACACCATAATATTCGAATAGAACCATTGCCGAAAATAGGAAATCAAAGCTGAACCAACTCTCAAATTAACAATTAAAACATTGAATTTACATAAATAGTAATATAACACTCGAGTATTTAACTCATTAATTAATACATAATTTTTTATCTAAAAAATAAAGTTTGAATTCCTTACCTTCAATTAAAAAAAAAACATCATAACGAATTTTTGATGAATTTTATTGTGGAAAGTGAAATTGTATGAAAACCAAATATAATCATTGAATTCGATATTTTATTTTCTGATTATTAAAGTAAAGAGGAGAACAATCTGATTTAATTAATCTTAAATTTCCAATTATGCTCAAGTGACATCTAGATTTTGGTAAGATGATAATTGATTAGACTATTTTATATATATATATATATATAAAAAGACAGGAATTTTATTGATAAGAAAATTGACGTACACGAAGTGACTTCAACGAATTCTGGCTTACGCTCTCAACAATTCTTGATGGAGACTCCATTTCTACAAGGTACGAATATTTGATTTTCTTCCTCAGATTTGCACTACACTGCAATGGCTCGGCATCATATCATTTTTGTTATATCTTTTGTGTACATATAAAATATGCAAAAATGTGGATTCTGCTCCTTCCTAAGATTATAAGAAGTGTGTACAGTCTTTGGATCGTAATAAACATTAATCTAGTTCTGGAAAAATTCACTAATTACAGAAATCAAATCACTTGGATCTCCAGTCGTAGCTAAGTTCGCAAAAGCCCATGTAAGGAATCCAATTCTTTTAATTATTTCCCTCCTTCGCATTAGTATGGAAGGCTGCAAAAGAATAAAAAAAAAGCCTCAAGTAAGAGCTTAAATTGGATGATTTATTATTTGTTTTCGCTTCCACTTGGCATATTTAAAATTTTGCATAAAAAGTAATTAAAGGGTAATATACAGAATCATATATCTATATATATCAAATTATATATATATAATAATAAAATTAAAAATTAAAAAATGACGACTGTCAACATGTTTGTCTTAACACAAGTAACATGTCCAATATTTAGTATTGTTGATGGAAATGCATGTTGCATGGTTTAATAAGAAATAACTATTGATGAAGAAAGGGTTGTCAGATAATAAGATATTGATCAAGAAAATAACTCATCTTGTGATCTCTGCTTCGGAATTGCATCTTCGAGTACCAAATATCGCCAATTAATATCATGCTGAAGTTTTTTACAGACTTGGGAAGTATCCCAATTATACTGTCTGATGGCAGCATCTGAAAAAGCAGAAAAATAAATCCAAAAGGCTGTTATCTAAAAGATCATATTGATATTATAAAAGATTTTGTTCATTATGAATGACCAAAAATATTCATGCATGGGAGATTTGCAAGCATACACTATCCGTTTGATGCTAATGTTTCAAGAATCTTTATTTTGTGATTGATCAATGCCCAGTGTTTGTTCCAGGGGCAGTGAGCTGCAAATTAATTTTTGTGATGCAGCTAGGAAACATTTTGAGCTCAATCGTCAATTGTTTTTCGAGTGATATCTTTCATATTTGTACAGATTCTTATATCCGAACTAAGTTATTATATCATAGAAAGTCTCCTGTTAAACAAACAAGAGAATTAAATTATATATATATAATAATAACAAAAGTTAAAAACTAAGATGCTATCACTCCTCCATCACTTTCCCTCCGCTGCTGCATAGAAGAATCATTAATCTCGTAAAGAGATAACAGTCCATGTTACTACTATGTTAAGAATCTTATAAGTATAACTCATTACAGTTTCTTTTTAAGACATATTAATATTACGAACTTTATCTAATTAAATTTATAATTTATTATAATTAATATCTTATTGACGAAGAAAAACCAACAAGCAATCTTAATTGATAATTCCTTTGATCTGCAGCCAGCCAAGCCTAACTCTCAATGATATATGTGAACCATGATTTTGTATATTAATTGGCAGGATTTGATAAATGTGTTGAGAAGTTTCCTGTCTGAATGGGCTCTTATTTTTATTCTACTTGTTCCAATCCATTTCCATCCTTCGGCCCCTCACCTTTGTCATTTCCGGAGCCCATGAACCCCATTCTACTTTTACGCTTAATTTATCCGCCTCAAACTACCATGCTGCCCTTGCCCATTCGAGCCAAAGTCGACACTTTGGCTTTTGCTGTCAGCTCACCCTCTTCTAAGGCTGCCACGTGCTCTTTTTCTGTTTCTCTTCTCATCAATCTTGATACGATCAGGAGTTGTATGTCTTGACAAGTCAACTCCAAATCTTCTAGGCAAATGAAGGAAAAGCAGAGAGGAAGGCAGAGGGAAATATGCATGCAGCTTCCATCTACGTACTTTCCATTCTTGTTTTAAACTATAAAATTTCCAGGTAGTTTGACGACAGAAAAATCGAACCTAAATTTATGTCTGCAGGGTTCACAGCTAAAATTGCAAGCTGAACGCGTTCCCCCACCTATGAAGTGCCCCTTTGCGTTCCCTTTTCTGTCTTTTTGGTGTCCGATGACCAGATGGTTGTTCACATTGCTTTCTCATGGCTGTGATATGCTCCTCTAGGTTCCATTGGGAAGCTTCCTCTTGGAAGTTGAGTCAATAAGATGTCATCGGGGAGGTAGCGTGTGATGACGACCGTCATCTTTTAAATTTTATTTTATTTTTATTATTTATATATATATATAATATGATTATTTTTATAATTTATTTTTCATGTAAAATCTTGAATTTATTAAAAAATTATAAAAATTATTTCTAGATTAATAGTTTTCTTACTTAAGGATTATTTTTTGTATATGCTGTTGGGCAAGTTTATGATGTTGTTCTCGTCTGTAAAAGCATATTTACATGCTTGATGTTTTAGGGTGTCTTGAGTTTGAGGAAGGTGTCACCACCATGAGTCTATAACCGGTTTTTAGAATAGTAAAGTCTCTCGGTATATTTGTAATTTGTAATTTGGCGCCTTCCAATTCCATGAAACTTAACTTTTAAAATGAAAATTATATACAATGTATAATTTTAAAAACAAAATTAGGAATATTACATATTTTAGCATGAAACCTCATCCAACAAGTTTGAGTGATTAATATAACAAGGATGCATGGCAATAATTTAATTATAAACACATAAATAGATACATTTTTATTCGGAAAAACACATAGGATTAGAAAAGCACTTGAACACTTGAAACCCAAGAGGTTCAATGACATAGTGCTCAGAGGCCTAAGTTAACACCATACGACTAAATCATAAAGGAATTTTAACAATTGCATACCATCACCAAATTTCTGCTAAGAAAAAACAAATTAACATATCTTCACAGTTCAGATGAAACAATTAATCATAGCTGAGCAGCTAAATGTTCATAGGCTGATAAACAAATAAGCAATTAGAGACAATGGATCTCCAAATATTGCAGAAACGACCAGCTCGAGAAACATGATCAACCACTTGATACCCTTCATTGCTTTGGAGCTTTGCCCCCTACCTTGGAGAGCAACTTCTTTCGGAGCAAGATTTTGTAAGGCAAGGGTTTTTGTATTCTCATCAGCAGCAGCAACATCAAGTTGGAAATAACCCAATTTCCAATTCTCAAGCAAGGCTTCTCTCAAGCAGGCCACATGGTAACAGTACGCACCATCCGAAGAAACATAGGACCAACCCTGGACTTTGCCTGATGATCTTTTCCTGCTTTGTCATTTTAAGCATTTCGATTTGATCTCTTTGCGTAGGTAGATTTTCATGTCGACATCCGGGAGGGAAAAGACCGGTGGAAGGTTTGCGCAGCAGGGATGTAAATCTTTATCCCCATGGGAGCACTGGTACAAGAAGCCTTGTATCTCCAAGGCACAGGCGTCGCAGACTCGGATTCCCCCCAGTGGATTTTCCTTGTGAAATTTGAAGTCGCAGGTCTCAAAAAATTTGTGAAATGTCTGAGGCAAACGAATCCCACACGTCTCATGCAGAATATAATTGCAGTCCTTGTTGGGACATTGGTAGCAAAGTCCAAATCCTAGCTCCTTGCACCCATCGCAATAGAAAGGAACTTCGCTGTTTTTCAACTCAAGCTGGTGTGGGTGACCATCGTCCTTTTGTTTTAGCAACACTGGCATATCTTCTGCAAAGATTTATATATCTGTATGAGCAGATCAACAAAGCTGGATCGATATGAATATTATTCTTTGATATAATTGATAAACTGGAGTCTGATGATAAT